ACACTTTTCTAAAGCCCAGAGGACAAAAACCAGTTTGTAATATGGCTTTTTATGGCTTGCTATTTAAAACAATTAGTTCTGAGATGGCAAACTTTTATGAACAAAAATTAAAGTATGATTTTGCACCTATACCAACTTTTTTTTATATTTCCTGCAAGCTTTTTAGCCATTTAGGGCAATTAAGTGCTGCTTTGTGTAAATATATTTTAGAGCTTCAAAAACAACACATGACTACAAATTAGCTTCAGTCTCCAGACGTATTTGCAGCAACGTGGAACTGACTCGGTTAAACCAAATCTGATTCATACGCAGTATTTATGAAGAACTATTTTACATTAAACTGGATACAATTTTAAAACATGTTTGGAAAAATCCCTGAAGGATATTATGTGATCGCTGAATTATGGTGTGGTTACTTGAACTGCAGTTCAATATCTCTGGAAGTGTATGAGTCATTTATCTTTTACAAGGACTTCTACATGAAGCTCTGAAGACTCAGGGCTACTGGTTAGCCAGCATAAGGCTTTAAGATAGAGTGTGATTATTAACAAAAAAAAAAAAGAACAGTGAAATATTTTCTGGGTTTGAAAGATTTTACTTTTCACATTAGTTACAAAAAAAAGAGAAAATGTGTAATTATTCAAGTCACCTTGCATATTAACTGTGTACTTTCCAATTTCTTAAACTGATTAAAAAACAAAGTGCAGTAATAATCAGAGGTAATAAAATAGCCTCAAATAATGTCAGACTATTCCCAAATTAAAATTTCTTCCTCTCTGTAGAAAAGTAATACCAAAATTATGTACGCTTTTTTGATCAGACAGTTTAGGATGGCGCATGGGCCCTTAGCAGCTGAGTGCTTGGTTCAGCTCTCAGCTGGCTGGACCTTTGCTGCATATTATTCCCCTGCACTCATTTCCTGTCCATCTCTACTGCCTTAAAAAAGAAAACAATTACGTCAAATGTTATTTTAAGAAGCTACTTTATCATTAAATACCGAAATATACAGATTGTTTTCTAAAAGATAAAGGCTGATTAATTTGGGGAAACCCACTGTCATATTGGATTTTTTTGCTATGATTGCTATGATTTAATGTTGATTACTTTTACTTATTATTTCAACTTACGCACATTTTATTTTGCAAGGGTTCCAGTGTAGCACTGACAGTGTTGGGCAAGTTACTTTGAAAAAGTAATTAATTATAGTTACTAGTTACTTCTTCAAAAAAGTAACTGAGTTAGTAACTGAGTTACAAGATTCTAAAAGTAATTAATTACTTGAAAAGTAACTATTGCGTTACTTTAAAAAACAAAAGTTTAACCCTCTGGGGTCCAGGGTATAATTGGCCATTTTTAACTACTTTTGATTTTCCCTCCACATTTCACCTTTAAAAACTTGTCTTGCCTTGTTTGGTATCATCCTTTTCAGCACGACTTCATGTGTCTGAATTTACAGTTATGTTTTCATTTTGACATACTGTATTAACACAATTGATCTAAAATCAGGCAAAAACATAAAATCCGATTAGAAAAAGTTATTTTTTTTACTGTAACAACCACAAACATGTTTTTCGAATCATATTTCATAACTTTAAGTGCAAATATAAATTGTTAATTTTAAAATCCTATGCACAAGTTTTGCAAACAACAAAGTTATTTGCATCCATTTACCTTTTACCTTGATTTTTTAAATAACCATTTCAAACTATTTACAGAACAATCAGCTGTTCTGCATTCAATATGATGCCACACAAATTATTTGTGTCACTCCAAAATAAAAAAAATAATTTCTGTCCACTATAAAGGAGAACATCACAGCCTAATACCTGCAGGTCTGACAGCAGGTGTATCACTCCTGTTTCTACCTGGAGACAGCAGTCGCCTCATTGTTCTGACACACAACACAAAACTATCCACAACACTGCACACTAACTACACAAGACAACACATTAACTACACACTCCAAACATGCTAAACGTCACAAATCTCTCATATCTCAAAACTCGCTCTCTCTCTTTTTCTGCTGTCTTTCTTTCTCTCTCTCTCTCTCTCGCCATCACTTCTAAAACTTCCCCCTCTTCTTAAACAACCAAAGGTCATGTCGCCATATCATTTTTTGATTGGTCGACATGGTGCATTTTTCCACCAACACGAAATGGCTGTTTTTTTGTTTTGTTTTTTAAATTTTTTAGTCATAAGCAGAGAGCGCTTGCTAGCGCTGTCCTTAGACAGTAAACGTGACAAAACTATTCAGGAAAAAACACACGTATATTGTTTATCATGACTCTGGTTTTACGTGGCCTATCAACACAATTTTCACTGGTATATATCACCTTGTTGCTTTGTCTTTAAGTGGTCATGTGATTGGCTTACCACGACTTCTTTATTCTTCCTCAGTTAAACAGCAGCACTCATGTGATTTTTTTGCCTTCTTAGCTCCAGGTGTTGTGCCAAAAAGTGATCATCTGCCAGAAAGTGTCCGCGGGAGCGCGCGCAGCTGCTTAAAGCTGTAGCGCCCAGATTACTTATGTGCGGTAAGGTGAAGACAGCTTCAACCGTCTGTTTGTTGAAAAATAGTAACGCGACCGCACCGCATTTTCTTGTTAGTAACGGCAACTGCGTTGTAACGATAGAAATAGTAATTAGTTAGATTACTCGTTACTGAAAAAAGTAACGCCGTTAGTAACGCCGTTATTCCCATCGCTGAGCACTAATGGGTTTTACAGATAGCTCTTTCAAACATCAGCTAAGGGGTGCTTAAGCAGGAAAAAAATGCTTAATGGCATCCCGTTTTCTTTCTTTCTTTCTTTCTTTTGCAGAACATTTTTAAGAATGATTTAGCTGTAATGAAGGGAGATGTTTAAAAATAGACGCTACGACACTTTGGTCTATTGGTGGAACAGTGTCTCATCTGAGAATATCTGCAATTTGCATACAGCCCCTCAGCTGTCTTGGAGATTAAACTGTTTAACACCCCTTGAGTCATTTCAGGGTTTGACATTTAACCTGTTAAAGAGCTCTCTTCGGATAAGGTTACTCTTCCTCCTCAGAAAAATCTAACCGTAATCATATCTTAATTTTGCAAATGCTGATTTGTGTGACAAAATCACACCTGCTCAAATGCAAACACATCTAAACACATCATCTATTGCACCTGTTTGAGGACAGTGACAGACTTCCAGCACAGAAACCAGCTTTGCTCAAGTACAATCACAACGTTCTCCCTGTTTGCAACACGAATACAAATGTGACTTCTGTCTCATATGATTAACATGTTGCTACATGTAAACCACCTAAAGGATGTGCCAGCCTGTGTTTGAACTGGGTTTCAAAACTTTGTTAAACTCATAGTACTAAGAAAAAGTTTTGAGTCACCCCTCTGCTCTTTACATTTTTCTTTCAAGTGATCTTATAAAGTTTTTCTTTTGACATTGGCGGATTTTTCAGTACTTTTAACTCTACTCGTTTGGCCCCTTAGACCTATTATTCTAGCATAAAAAGGGCACCTAATTCAAGGGATTCATCGGACATAATAGCCAACTTAGCAAAGTCACAATTTTGAATTAGATCTATAGGCACTTTGTTCCTAGGAACCTTTTGCAAAAATACATAACTTGTTCTCGTTTTTTTAGACTGAATCTATGAAAAATGCCAAAGATAACACAGTTTGACTAAGATAAAAATTGTAATTTTGCACTAACAAGGTGATTTGCAAAGAGAGTCAAAAACCTTCCATATCTTGGCATGGTGAACAGTGTATCCTTAAGGAATTTGAGTAAACTGGACAAGTGAAGGGTTAAAAAAAAAAACTATCTATAGCTGATAAAACAGTATCTGAAAGTCCTTTCCTTAAAAATAGTTAAGTAAAGATCAGCTGACAGAGGATCGGAGAGATGCACTTGGCCCTTTAGTTGATTCATCTACTGTTTGCTGAAGTCTGATCAGAAACAGCCTCAGTGTAAGTGTGTCTGTCAAGAAGTCATTCTTAAGGAAAGGACACTGGGAGAAAAGACTGAGGTATGCCAAATTACACAAGAGCATCTACGGCCATCTGCACAGTAGAGGCTCTGTCATAATGCGGGGCTTCGTTTCAGCGAATGATGATGGGGATCTTGTCAAAAGTAAATATGAATCTAATTTCATCCCATGGATCCTGGAGAACTATTCCTGGAGATTACTTAAAGAAATTAAAAGAAACCTTTCCTAAGAGAGTTCGGCTTGTATTGAAGAATAAATGTACTCATACCAAATATTGATGTTCAAGTCTCTAAGCATTGTACCAACTCTTTTTTTTCCCACATTAATACTGCATTTCCATTCTTATTTCCATGTTTTTAATAAATAAATAAACCTATTTCCTATTTTCCTGGCAAATTATAAAGAAACGAAGGTGACAGACTTTTGCACAATGCCCTGTGTATTTTCTTTTTATTGAGATAAATGAGTCTGCATACATGTTTTGGTCGCATGTACGTCTTTTGCCGAGGCTGGAGACAGAGCAAAGAAGCGAATGAAAGTGTGAACACGTCAAATTTAACTGAGAGACTGATTTCCCTGCAGCAGAGCTCTAAACAAGACTGTGACTAGAATGAAAAAATGTCCAACTTCACTCCAGCCGCCTCACTTCCAGGAACACAACTATCAAACACAAGCAGCACTTAATTAGCTTCTTGTTTTCTAACTTCACTCAGCTCTGCTCTACTTGTATGCTACTGTGTCCGTGCATGTGTTTGTGTCTTCAGCCCAAGGCTGTGTCTGAACACATTTCACCAAATAGAATCCAATTTGTTTAACTTCTATTCAACACAAATACAGAGGAGTGGCATGAGGAACTTGTGACAGTGTGCTGTGAACAGTGTGTGGGATTCTGTTAAACTGCATGACCCTTGTGATGGACACGGTTATAAGAATCCAGTTAAAGACTTTATCCACTTTTCTGCATGTATATCTTATTTTGCAACTTTAAACAAATGGTCAGTCAAGCAGCGCTTAAGACCTACCTGCGTTGTTTGGTATCTTGCCATTGCTGACTTGCTTGAGTCTCTTTTGGTGGGATTTGCCATTGTAGTGAATCTGGGCCTGTGCAGCTGAATTCAGCTGTATGTTGCACACATCACACAATGTGTAGCTTCGTTGCTTCCTCTCCCTTTTTGGTCTGCAGAGCGTAGAATGCAAGGCGCCCCCTGGTGATTGCTCATCTGGTCGTACGCCCTCATCCCCTATGCTGCAGGAAAGCTCGCTGTCCATTTGCACTACCAGCTCAGTGCTGCCGGTCCTTTTGTCCAGCTCGATTGTTGGCAGCAACGACGGGCTGAACGGACGTTTCATACCTGTGGTAGAAGAAAAGAGCAAGATGGAGAAGATGTTTAATACAAACTGGAAGAAAGTACCCTTAGAGGCTAGCAATTACATACACACAAAACCCAAGGAAACATTGGATCCTCCTTTTCTTTCTGAGGAAGGCTAGAGAAGATGTGTAAAACATTATGGAATAACTTATCACAGTCTGGTCTGGCCTGGCCCATCCAGCAAGAAAAACCCTCTTAAAACCTGATAGCTGCAGAGGACAACTGCAAAAATACCCTTGATTCCTAAAGTGTCAAGGAGTGTGTGGAATCGAATACCCTCTGAACAGTGACACGTGTATAAAAACAAAAAACATTTATGAAGAGCCCAAAAAGATGATGCTGTTCATCTGGATGTTTATTTGGACATTTATGAAGAGATTAGGAAAGTGTGAAAAGAAATGCTGGGCACAAGTGCAAGCATGATCACACTGTCAGCTGTTGTTCATATGGTGGAGGTCCGGGGTGCAAGGAAGTACCACTTGGGGGAGACAGAGTGCTGCAGTGTGACTCTCAGAGGAACAGTAAGGCTCCTATGTCAAGCTATTTCACTTAGGATGACTCCATGGCAGAGTGCTATCTGTCCCCCCCTGCAAGCCAGAATGCTGCAGTGGAAACCATGCCGCCTCTATGCAGGATCTTCAAGTAACTGTGCATGGAACAAACAGGTGCATATAGGGGGAAAAAAACTATAAACTATACAACCTACAGTATTTCTTCAACATCAGCAGCTTTAGGAAATATAGAAGTATGGGATATTAAACACTTTATTTACCAGAACTATGTACAAATGGATAAAGAGACTTCTGTAAATGTGTCTGCTGAAGATAAGCAGGCCAAAAATATTGAAAGAGACAATTAAGATTCTCCAAAGAAAGCAGTTGAAAATAAGAGCTATTTGTTTCATATGCATCCACTCCACATAAATAAATGAAAAGGTAGCTCTACTGTAGCTCTGTGAAGGATTGAGCCATCACCACTGTAAAATGTCCCTGAAACACACCCAGCTGTGCATTTCTGCTGCTGGCTTTTTTGCCTCCACCTCAAGTTATTTATGTAAATAACCAAACTGCTCAAGCACATGCACCAAACACACATACGCAGAGAGTAAAGCTGAACCTATGACGCACACGTACATACAAGCATTAAGAGAAAATGCTCACACAAGGACACACAAATGTGAGCAAACACACACACACACACACACACACAGTACTCAAAAACACATTAGAGCAAGCAGCCTCCATGAAAGCTGCTATTCACATTGCCAATCTGGGAGCACTCAAGAGGCTCCATCAGATGTTTTCTCAAAAGCTTTGAGCAATGCTGCTCTCTGGCACTGAATGAAAAAAAATCTCTCTAGTCCTTAACCACCTTCTCACTCCTACCAGACAACTCAACTAGCCACCCTAAATTAGCAAGGTTGTAAAAACAAGAACCTTAGTGAAGACATGCAGAACACATAGAGAGCATATTGCACCCTTGCAAAAGATATTTCCTTACAGACCATTAAAGAATCCTAACATTCATATATACATTTATTTTTTTCAGCCGGACAATTCTGCAAAGGTAGATTGTGACCTTATGCAGACCATGCTTTCAGATCATGCAGGCATGACTGTTACCATAGAGACCAGTGTAGCACAGATCTGTATGTTAAAAATTATTTTTTATTTTGATGTGAATAAAGTTAACTTTAGAGCCTCAGTGGAAATGTATGTAGCATGACACATAAAAATGGCCAAGCTCACAGAAGGAACGTATTTCTACCTGCTACACTATCTACATTTTGAACATGAGTCATCTGGTTATACAGCTATGAAGAAAACCTTTATATAGGGATTTGACACACGTAAGACTGATGTACGTAAGACAGTTTTTTTTATTTAGAAATATTTGAAATTCTCTGTGTATGTTAAAAAAAGTGAGATTTTAATTTAACTGTGTAAATTTGATCTTACACAGATTTTCACAGCTAATTCAGTCAGCTTTGTTGTGTTATTAAAATAGAAGAAGAAACCCGGAATCTCTAGGCTGTATGCTCTTAAGCTTTTCAAAAGCGCATCTATATTTGGAAAAACAGGGCTGCAGATTGTCTCATGCTTTTAAGTACATACAGGGTTGTTCAAGGAATTCGCTTCTAACAACACTCACCGGTGTCCCTTACTTCTCTTTCAATGTTATGATACAGGACAATGGACAGAACCAGCTACTTTCATGAACAGCAGCTTGAATGCACCTGCTGCATGGAGGATCACCAGGACCAAAAGGTTTCTCCAGCTTTCAACAGTGAGTATGTGAGTCTGTTTGTACTGAATATCCTGCAGTGACTTTAAAGACACTTCCAGCTCAAGGTAGAAGCTGTGTGAGACAAGAGTCCATGCCGTGTCCACACAGAGATCTGTAGGCTGACACAGGACAGGAGATTGTCAGGGGGTAACCCTGGGGAAATGAGGGAGGGCAGGAGGCTCTGCCAGCCTTGCCATGTCCGCCGTTTCCGCTGTCTGATGCACCCCCACGCTGCACAGCCTCCTCCCTCGGCACATTGGAAACATCAATCACTGCTACGATCTTGCTGAAAGACTGAGGCTCACCCAGCATAGCAGCTCAGCAATAAAAACTCTATTTACGATCTTACGTCCGCTGCTCGCTGATCCTGAAATACTGTTGCACTTTCCCCAGCTTAAACCAGCCCTAACCACTGGCCCACCTCAGATAGCTCCCCCACCCATCCTCTGTGGCCACAGTTGGCATGGGGGCATTCTGGTTCAGGCAGAAACTGGCTTCCAGATGGACCGGCGCAAACACTGCATGGCAGTTAGCAGCTCCTAAATCACCCTGATGAGAGGGGAATACTGACAACAAGTGAAGCCAATTGGAAGCAGAGATTTGCATGCAAGTTACATGTTCCACATCCAGTTCAAACTGCCATGAGACAGACATGCATGTGTACAGGCATGGCTATACACAAACCATGCATGTGTACAGTTGCACACACAAACACAACATATGCTGACCTCAGATTGTTTTTTAGTAAAGGGCAGCAATTCATCAAACATGCAGAAATTGCAAACTAAACACAAGCATTTAAAATTGATAAAATATATATTGAATCTGCTGTCAAAACCACATGGACTCATCTTAGCAACGCAACAAACACAACTGAAAAAAAATGAAAATAATCTAATCAAGCTAACAAGCATTAAAGCAGCTACAACACACACACACACACATATGCGGAGATGTCGTGCATTCACTGGGTAAGAGGAGATTAAAAAAATAAAAGGAAATGAAGTAGAAGAAAAAGACTCCTGTCTAAATAATTGGATACAAAATATCAATAGCCCAGATTTCTTGCATAAAGCAATCCTGACAGCAAGGACTGTAAGCAAAATGACTGCAGAAGGGGATAATCTATTTCCCTGTCTGATGCATTTCAGATGGGGAAGGATCAAAATCCTCCTGACAATCAACTAAAGCACAGAGCATTTATTATAGAGGTCAGTGGTGTCAGGGAGGCAGAAAGAAACACATGGAAAGAGTGAGGAGAGATTGGTAAAGACAGAACAAAGTCTCTTGTATAATTGGCATCATCAAAGTATCATTACTGTCATGATGACTGTATTGTCATTACTGCAACTACAGAACGGGCCTGAGGTCCATGTCTTTGTGCCCAGCACATCAATGTTGATTATGTAAAGTCCAGGCTGCGGTCCTCTAATGAGTGTAATTATACAGGAATCAGTGCAGTGCTTACTGAGAAAGAAACCTCAACTGTTGTATGGCTAGTTCAGTAGTCGAAAGCTAGGACAGAGTGTTTGCAGTCCCTATCACCCCAAACCCAAGCCCGAGAGTAAATAAAGAGCACTGGCACATGAATTGATGTGTTTTCTCTAATCTCTGTTTGCAGCAGTTCTTTGGGAGCGCACAGGGAGGGCATTTGTTCACTCTGTTTGTGTGTGTGTGTGTGTTTGTTTGGCAATGAATGTGTGTTTGTTTGCAAAAAAGAAAAAAAACAGGGGAAATTTATTATATTATATGTATAATTATTTATACAGCATCACGCTGATCCCATCAGTGGGGGATCAGTTACACCTCAAAAGAGAACTTGGACAGGACAAAATCTGATTTCTTATTAAAACCTACAAGGTTTACATGCGGTTACATGAGGTTAACAGCATTAAAGATATTTATATTATAAGATATCCAAAATGACAAGCTAAGACATATCGTGTCTGTCATAGCCTTTGTGAAAGATATGGGATGTGGTAACGGTTTACAAGCTTTCTTGTGATGCATCTCCACCGAGCAGAACTTCATAAAGACCAATTATCATGTTTACTTCTTGTCATTTGAACCGTCTTGTAAATTAAACCGCTTGTACATTTGCTTGCTTTTAAAAGTTTTTCAAAGCAGACCATTTCTATTGCAGTGTAAACAACCTACCGCAACAATCCGGTGAGCCTCTGTGCTCAAGCGCTTGTCAACAGTATGAAAAAAAAAACAATTTCCTGTAAGCGGCTGGTGGGAGAGAGATAAGCAAAGTGAGAAAACCCAAAGTTTCAAATTTGCATTCATGTGTTACAAATGACACAAGTCTGTGTCTGGTCTAAGGAGCTGGTTGTTTCATTAAAAATAAGGATCTGCATAACACTAGTTATTTCAGTCTTGTTTTATGAGACTTAAGCAAATATCCTAATACACATCTTGCCAAATTAGGATTTCTTTTTCGTTGTGTTACCTCATCTACTTCACAACATTTCCATGTACTCTTTGGTAACCACAGAAGCACCTCTTTTTTGTAGCATAAACAGAAGTTTCAAACAGTAATATGCAAACTTTATAGCAACCCACAAAAACTGGAGTTTCCTTTTTTTCTTTTTATCTCTTATTCTGTTTTACTTTACACGGTTTTATCTTTCAAACAGTCAGTCAATCTTTGTCTTAACTTTTCTCTTTCTGCATCTCAAAGACACATCCCCCAG